AAAAAAAAAAAAAGCCAAACTGGCTGTTGGCTTTGGGGAGCCCGGCTTGTCCTCCGGGACTCGGGGCAAGGCGGTCCCAGCAGTGGCCCGGAGCTGGGACTGTCACCGCAGCCCCCGCGAAAAACAATGGCCGTGGTGGCACGGCCCAAAGCCCGGTCCCGACGGGGTCTGGACCGGGACACACACACACACACACACACACATCTGCCCCGTTCACCTGCGGGGGCGTGGGGACGCGGGGGGGACACGGGACGGGACACCCCCACCCCCCACTCTGGGCACACGTTGCAAGGGGACCCCCCTCGCAAAATCTCTACCCCCCACACCCTTCATCCCAACCCCGGCGCGAGGCACCTCCGATAAAAGCGGGAGAAATAAAAAAAATAAAATAAAATAAAATATATGTCTATAAAAAGCACAATGAAAAGACACAATAAGCATCAACTTTACCCAAAAGGCGGAGCAGCAAGTTTTCAGCAGGCGAGCGGTTGCTGCGGAGCGGAGCTGCTCCTCCGGACCCCCATCATAAACTTGGGGGAGGGGGGCGTGGGAGGGACTTTCTCTCCGTCCTTCCCTTTTGTGCCTCTCTTCAACACCCCCCCCCCACACACACGGGCTCCGCTCCTCGCCAAAAGCTGCCGAGAATCCCGGCGGCGGCGCAATCCCGGCTGCTGCCGCGGAGCAGCTCCGCGGAGGCGGGCGGGGAGGGAGGGAGGGAGGGATGGAGAGATGATGGAGCGATGGAGGGAGGGAAGGATGGGGAGGGCCGGGGGCAGTTTGGAGAGGTGCGGGGAGCCGGGGGTGCCGGGCGGCTCCTGCTGCCCATCAGCCCGGGCCGGCGGCGGGACGCGGAGCGCACACTCATGCACAGGCATATACATACTTTATATACATTATATATATAGACACATACATACATACACACAAGCTGAAGTTGAGCAGCCTGCAGGGGAAGACACTGGAACGCTTTCAAGCTCCGAGACAAGAAGACAACTGGCTGGAGAGTCGGTTTTTTTTTCTCCTTCCCCCTCCCTCCCGCTTTAAGAAAAAGAGGGGGAAGAAAAAAAAAAAAAAAAAAGGGGCGGGAGGGGGGAGATTTATTCTCTGTAATAGGAACCAAATGTTGGCTGGGACAGCAGCTGCACTCTCACTCTTTCCCTGTAAACTGTGTGATCGGCTTTTCAAAGGAGGTGTTACAGGGTGCAGGGCTAACTTTACTGGTCCTGACTTAACCCTTGCCTCTCTGGAGAGAGGTAGGGAATATGGGTTTCCAGGAGAGGTTAGTGTCTTTAAAAAAAAAAAAAAAAAAGGAAATCAAAACCTTCCCACTCTTTCGGCGCGGGCGCTTGGGACCGCTCCGGCTCCTCTCCCTCCTCCCGCCAATCCCCTTTCATCCCGGATCGCCCCTTCCCTTCGGCGAACCGCACCGGTTTGGGTGCGGGGCTTTCTCGGAGCCGCGGGGATGGGATCCCCTCCGGAACGGGCCGGGACCGGCCCCCCCACTCCCCCCCCCGCCTCACCCCGCTCGGCCGGAGGGCATCTGCAACAAACCCACAAAATTCCTCCTTCTTCGGGGAAAGTAGCCCCCGTCCTTCCCCCAAAACAACAAAAGTTTGGCCTTGTGCAGATTCACTCGCGCAAGAGGCGGGGATGGAGCTGGGGGGGGGGGGGTTTCCTTCAACTTTGGTGGGTTTTTTTCCCCCCTCCAACCGGGAGTTTACGCTACTTTCGCAGCCCCGTGCTCCGCCGGGGTTGGAGGCAGCAAAGCCCCGCGGAGCATCTCCGCAGCCGCGGCCGGCCCGGCCCGGGCTGTGGCCGTACCCCGGCGGGGAGCCAGCCCCCGGGCGGTTTGAGCCTCCCCCAGCATCTTCGGTGGGGAGAAGCGGTCATTACAGATCGTTCCCCACACGCGGTAACCTACGGAACCGCAGCACCATCATCTATTTTAATCCTGGTGTTTTTGGGACCGAAGCGGCGAGGAGAGGAAAAAGAATCTCCAAGAAGTACCCCGCTTCCACCCCAAATATCCTCGCTTTTGCGCTGATCTGATGCATTAACACTAATACCAGCGAGGAATGCAGTAGTTTTAACTTGGACTTGGGCCAGGCTGGGCTTGTTACTTGATTTGTTTTGATTTCTTTGGCTATGAAATTTCTCAAAAGTTTCAAACGCAAGCAGATGCTGCCGGGGAGGGTCACCGCGCTGTACCCAAGAGCAAGCTGAAACTCGCCGTATCATCGGGGTATCTGACTCCGGCAGGATTATGGCCAGTGCCATGGCAACCGCATGCCACATCAGCCCCCGGCTTCGCTTTCAGTCCCTTGGGCAGCGTTAACATTTGCCAGCGGATTTGCCCGACACGCAGCCCAGGTCCGGGCAAGTGGAAAAAGAGCTTTATGCCACGCAGAAACCTTCCTTGTCTGGCCTCTGCAAAGCAACCTGGCTGGACCCCAGGCTCGATGCTACAATTTTAATCCTAAAAACCTCTTACCAATTTGGGTGCCTTCTGTCTGAAAGTTTGCACACCTCTTTTTTTTTTTTTTTTTTTTTCCCCCCGATGGCATTAGAAGGCTGATGTTTGAGAGTGACAGCTGGCTCCCCATGTACACCCAAATCCCATATTTGTTCCATTCGGATAGCTTGAGGAGGATGGTGAGGCAACAGGTTATTTTACCAACCACCAACATTGCAGCCTTTTTTTTTTTTTGATCCAAGACTAGCACTAGCGTGCACCCGCTACCTCATCCAAAGAAATTCCCTCCTCTCACCATGGTACCCGTGCAGTCCATGCTGGCACAGCAGCGCAACCGTACCCCATGCAGATGGGTAATTTTGTGCTTGGAGGAGTTTCATTGCACCTACCACAATGGAGAGAGGAGCTTTGGTTACCAAAAGTAGGAACAAACCAAGGCTTTGATCTCTGGAAGACAAAGCCCACTTGTATTCCCAGGTTAATTTACTGGGGAAAGATTACCTGGCAGCTTGGGAAGGGGGTTAGAATAAGAGGTTTTTGGATGGACCAGACAGAGAAGCTGGCAAAAAATTAACATTAGATATGTTCTAAATTCTTGCCGTGCAGTTACAAACACATGTACCTCCAAGATTGTTGGCCAACAACATTTTTAAAATCAAAAAAAAAGAAGGAATTAAAGGATTAATTCAGAGTACTTATGTGGTTAAGAAGGACGATTTTTCTTCTAGAATTAATATGTGTCAATGCTTTAGAAGATGGCAATTTTTAAGCCTGAACAGAAACTCCTCCTTTTAAAGAAGGATGATGGCTGGCCACGGCTGGAGGTTTTTTTGAGAACTTTGAGTCGGCTTTTACACTATCTGACTGCTGTAGCTCATCTGTCCTTCCCTCTCTTGCTCTGCTCATTGAACTGCCCTCTCTTAATCTTCCATAGGTGTCCGAGATTAAATAGATGACAGAATGACTGACATTTGGTATACATAAAAGAACCAAAATATGAACAAGGGGTCAAAGTGCAGCTCTTCCCTCTGGTCTTCCCTCCTGCTCTTGTAGAACTTGATGGGGATGAAACCAAGTAGGGATATAAAGATATATGACAATGTACACTTACTATACCTTGCTGGAGCATGAGTGTGTGGATACAGAGCATACATTCAAAAGTGTTCTGGACTAAGGGAAGAGGTTTTTTTAATCACAATTTAAAAAAAAAAAAAGCTCTCACAATGATAAAAGATTGACATATCACCAGGTCCAGGATTGCTAATCTGGGATCTGTCCCACTTCTGTTAGGTCAATGGAATGAATCTGATTAACCACAGAGGAAGTTAGACTAGCCTCAAAAGGTACAAATGCAGCTTTAAAAATGTTTTATATAGTTCTGAAAGAGGACTGTAATTTTTTATTATAGAAGGTATTTAAAGAAATGGTTAAAAAACCAATGGGGGATGCTCCGTTCTGTTCTGTTCATATCTATAGGATTCATTTCTATAAATCTTCATAGACCCTCATGATAAATTAAAAGACCCATTTGAGTATTCTAAAGGATACTCACGGGTAGAAGCTACCAGAAAAAAATCGCCTTTAAATATACTTCTCTTTTAGAATGAAGAAAATAATTACATGTAGGATGATCACTAGGAGATAGAGGTCTAAAATCATGTTTCATGCAACTCATATCTTTATGATATCTGGTTTCACTCCAAGAGGGAAGTAGTACATGATCAGTTCTGCCCTGATTTAAACAGCTGTACCAGCTCTGGGGTCAAAGAAGTTGCACCAAGTCTGAATGCACCTTGTTTCTATAGAATATAATTAATCACAATGATATTTAATAAATTAACAGTGTTGTGTGCGATGCTGGCTCAGAATTTGCTAGGAGAATGGGGAAGATTTTTTGGCACAATACATTCCCTTTTTTTTTTTAAGTAGCCCTGTTACCTGAGGGAAATCGTAACTGTGCGTAGACTATGAGACAATACTCACTGGGATGATATGCAGCTCTGATTCCTATCTGCCTCCATGAATGTGTTGTCTCTTGTTTAAAGCTTCAGTGGTAAGTTCCTTGAGGCAGGTACCATTTTCCTACATTTTATATTTTGATTAAGCCTTATTTTATTTTTCCTCTCTCCAAAGTATATCCAAAGTGTAACTTCAAAGCTAATTTCCTAATAGCTGCTTCCTTTTTTCTTTTCTTCCTTTTTTTTTTTTTTACCCACTAGAAGGATCCCTTCTTGCCAGATTTAATCTATATTGGATCATGAATACTGAGCTAATGCCATCAACTGTTCTAAGGTTTTTCTGTGATTGTGAAAGGATACTTGCATGCTATGTCAGCAAAGGAGGTAGTACTTTACTGGAAAACTGGCCTGGAAGCCAGTTTCATTTCAGAGAGCGTGCAAGATCTTATTCAACTTCAAACCCAAGCTGAAATGTCCTGCTTAAGCAGGACCTTATCCACGTGACTACATACGCTGAAATTGCTGCTCATAAAATGATAAGTAAACCATTTGAGAGTGCATTCACCATGAACTAGGAATATACATGCCATCCATTACCTGTCTCAGCTGAAAGACAGAAGCTTCTTCAAAATGCACGGAGCCCATCATGTCTGCATGGTTTTCAAGAAGTGTCACACTAGTGGCTGCTCTTGCCAGACCCATCCCATTCACAAATGGTGAGGAGTCCCTTCTCCCATTCAGATCTGAAACAGAGAGCACATTTTGCTATAAGAGAAGAAACCCCAAACTCCACCACCCAAACCATAGAAAGTTTAAAATTGAAAACTCAGGTCTGGGTCTATGCTTCTCAAAGCATTTCCAGCTGTAGAAAAGAAACAGTACATGGTGCTTACATGGGGAAACACTCTTTGGCATGGATGTGAAAATAAAATGCACATCTTCTGATGGATGAGAAACTGTGCAGTTTCTCATTCTCTACCCCTTTTCTCCCCATCTTTCTAAACTCTGCCAGTGAGGGGATGGGCTACAGGGCTCTACCTGCCTGGGGGTCTGAGAAAGGAGAAGCATAGCACAACAACCTGGCTGGGCTCTTTCTGGACTTCTTCTGTCCCCAGCAAAATGCTTGAATTGATGAGGAACCAGATA